TTCCCTACAAACATGCAAAATTCCATTATGATTTCCTTTGTTGGTTAGTGCTTTACAAGACCTAGTTTGATTGTTGTTATTCTTCTTATCTTTTTTTTTCTCTCTGAAATTCTCATTCTTCAATAATGTTTAGTAATACTGTTATTGTTATCACAAAAGTTAATGACTGCATGCCTTTCAGAATTTTGTGTTGTTCATATATGGCTGGTAGACTTAAAACATTTTGTATCAGTTTTTCCTTACTAACTAGGTTTTATAATACGGAACGCTGGCTAGGTCTGGGAAAGAAAGCACAAACATTTCGTTTCTCCTCATACACCTCGAACATGAATAAATACAGACAAAAACCACAATAATTCTAGCCCAAACTTCTTCTCACCTAGAGTACTTCCAAACTTCCTAAAGGAAGCTGGTTACAAACTATATTTTAAACCCATTTTGGTAGTCAAATACACCATTTAATTGGGCCATGTTACTTATCACACCTTTGCTGAGAAAATAGTTACAGACAGGCAGAGACTGCTCAAGAGTTAGGGTGAGTGGTAGTCATACACATGCTGTGTTACTGCATGTCAAAATCTCTGTTTCTCTGTTTAGTAGTCATAGTTGCATTTTAGTGTAACTCTCTTAAGTGTTGACATAGTGAATGCTACTAAGGATGACATGGAAATGACTAAGAGGCATGTCTTAAGGCATGACTCTTAATGTTTTGCAATGGTAGATCTAAATTAAGTTGTATAATTAATGCTGTAATTATTACACTTACATGTTTTATTAGATCAGAAAATAATGTGTTTATATTTAAAGAAACACTTTTATTTGCCTGATTTTTATTCATTAGTGTAGATTTCAAAATGGGTTTTTGGTTTTCTTTAGAATTTCTACTGTAAAACTCAATGTGACTGGAGGGTAGCTGTACAGTCAGCTGATGAACATGGAGTTGAGCAATCCATTGCACCAGGAAGAAAATGCCACACTAAAATCCTTAACACAGGTCTTGTGTTACTAGGAAGAATTTTTTCTTTTCTGTATTTGTGTGCAAGCGGATATCTAGTAATTGCTGAGATACCATGTGACATGGTAAAGCAGCACTTTATTGCTTTAATGCCCTCTGCTTTCCTTGCACCTGTCAGGTAAGCCAGTTATTCAGGTGACTTAGCAGATGGTTTTGGAACAGGTGTGTCTGTTAGCATTTGCAGAGTGAGGTTTTCTATGGTGTGTATATAGCAGCCTTCCTCTCCTGGCTCTTTTTTCTGGTGCATGTTTTTAATAACACAGGAGATGTTATGCTCAAGGTTGTCATTCGAGAGCAGCCTGTGTTACTCCTTTGACTAACTAGACTGAAATGCCACATCTCTAGTAAGCAGGTACACGCTGGTTTTGGACACTAAGCTAACGACTTTTATGATAGTTTTGAAAACAGTCGAACAACTGATGTGAAATAGATGTGGGGGCATGAAAACACCCCTACGTAACTGTTTGGTTTTTATTCTTCCTGGATTTGTTGTGCTCTGGAAAGTAACAAACGTGTGTCACACTCACGTAGTAGCAGATCCTCTCTCCTGCACAGCCATGATACGTCACAGCTCAGAAAACATTAGTTACCTCATTTCTAAGAGAGATTTAAAATACTGGGTGTCTGTGGTTTAAGTATTTATCCCTGTTACCTAGGCTATGCAGGTAAATGGGGACTGCTGCTACTAGGGTAGTGGTAAAAGGTTGGCGCTTATCTTAGAACCTTCTGTTTCATGTTTCCTTAGAGCCACATAATTGGCTTCACTGGGCTTTGGATCAAATTGAGAACAAAACAGTTAATTGCCTTGCAGAGTCCGACTTCTGAGGTAGATTTCCCCAAGCTGCTGCTTTGTTTCTAGATGAAGGGATTTGGAGGCAAGCCTAAGTACTTCAAATATATCCCATAGCAATAAATAAACATTGGTCACAACAACTGAAAAATGAAATAAAAAATAATTAATTTGATAGTTGACTGTGGTAACCAACCTATTGAGTGGAAATATGAGTGTGAAGTATTGTGGTATGGTATTAAGCATACTCAAGTCTCATTTTTCTTTCAGGGAGAAAGACCTTAATGCAAAGTTTATTATTTCAATGGAGAAAAATAAAACGACGATCACAAACCTAAAGGTGAGTAAACACAGTTTAAAGAGGAGTCCTAACTGAATAGCTGCCAAAACATGACTGGACACAACAGTGGTGCTCACTGCACTGTGGAGAACAGCCTTTAGTTTTTAAAATATAGTCTTGGAATAATCCCTTGAAGAAACAGGTTAAACTTTCCACTTGCTGCATTGTGGTTTTCTGCAAACTCTTCTCTAGGCTGTATCTCATAGGTTTTTCCAAGGTTTATTACTATGGACATTACTTAGCTGGAAGATGAAAGCCAGCAATAGAAGAGAGGTAGGAGCCTGGTAGTAATAAACCTTTGCTTCATCTGTAGAAGGTTTCTTCTGGATTTCCCATAAAAATGAACTAAACCCAAAGTGCCCATCACTTGCTATAGTGTTTTGATGGTCTATTTTAACATTTCTCACAGCAAGAGAAATCGTGCACAGCAAATAGGATTTTACAATCATTACTATATGAAAAGCAATTTCAGTGTGTAGTTTGTTTAGACTCGTTCAGATAGAAGTGAATATTGCTGAAGTGTAGTACTGGCTGTCATGTCGTTAGCATGATGATAGCCTCAAGCAACATATATGTAACACCATTTTGATTATGACTCCACGTTGAAATACTGTTCGCAGTGCAAAAGTCTCTTTGGCTCCTATTAATAATATGTGTAAGATAATCCCTTATAAATCTGAATTTCAAATATACAGAACTGATTGAACATAAGTATTGTGACAAAAATGTACAGTGGTGTTAAGAGCAGTAAGCTAAAATCCAAATAATTCCTGCTTTCCTGCTGTTAAATTTACTCTCTAATTGTTTATTGTAAAATGTTTTTAATTACTTCATCAGGATACCTTGTACCAGCTCTCTTTTTTTGTTGTTTTTTCCCTTTTAAATAGGTACCAGAAGGTAGTACTGGAGACACAGGACGAGAAAGAACTAAGACATTTACCTATGATTTTTCCTATTTCTCAGCAGACAGCAAAAGTCCCAGCTTTGTTTGTCAAGAAATGGTAGGATTTCTGAATGTTAATAATTATTTTTTTTTCCCCTTTTCTTTGGCTTGAATGCATTCATTGAAACTTCTTTACATCAAAAGTGGTTCTTAGGTAATTTAGAAATTCCCATGGTACCTGAGAATTTAAATTGTCTTTTGTTTCTTTTTTTTTAAAAAACTTATCTAACATTAAGTGCTGTGTTTTCTAATACAACAGGCTAAATGCCTACTTTCAAGTTCTCTTGTCTAATTTGTCTTATAAGGTCAAGTTAGAAAACTTTTCTGAGCACTAAACTTTGTTTCTGAAAAGCATACATCTTTACTTAGGCAGAAACATTCTTCTTATCTGGTTGAAGTGGGTTTTTTTTGTCTAAAAGTCTTGGTACACATTAAAGAAGATTCTACTTTCCTCTCCCTGGAGTATTTGGCTTAGGAAAAGACAAAACTGCCTTTCTTTCTGCACACTCAGAAGAGAATATCAAGCTCAGAGCTATAGGCAGTAGCTAGATGAACAAAATAGAACTTGGGAACTTTTGGAATTTAGGATGCTGTAATCTCCAAGTGAGAGTATTTCTTTCCCCTTAAAGTAGTGCAAGGGTTTGCCAAATATTCTGTAATCTGGTCAGATACATACCTTTTTTATGTACCTCATATGCAACCCCCAAAATCAGAGATATTGGCATGTCTAAACCTAAAAAGCCACACAATTAAAACCAATAATAAGAAACAATACGTTGAAGCCAATTTTATGTTTTTATGAAGAGGATGAACTTTGCCATTATATGTTATAATTATTTGATAGGGAATTCGTGAATTTGTACTTGAAATTTCTGTTTAACCATCAGTGTAACTGATGGGTCCTTTTTTTTTATTTTTAAGCTGCTTTATTTCAGTGAGTTATTAGTGTTTCATGCAAACATTTGATAATGTGTATTAAACTTTTTGGGTTGTTAATTCCTGACGATCTTTGAAGGAACACGGTTTTTGTTATATTCTCTGAAATATCAAGAAATATACATTTATCTGGGTGTTGATATAGAAATACGGTAATTACTTTAGCACTATGGTAATTTAAGAAGCAGTGTTATTTGAGCACAAAGTTTGGAACCCTACTTTCTA